CTTCAACTCCCAGAATTCTGGGAGTTGAAGTCCACACATCTTAAAGTTGCCAAGGGGGAGAAACACTGGTCTAGACAGAGAACTAAGCCATTCATGGCAGATGGAATGAAAGGGACCGAATTACTGTGAAGGAGAAGGGCTGCCTACACTTCCTCAGCTGAGGCTGGCAAACCAACCTTGTCCCTTGGGGAGAGAAAGAGGAAAGGGACATTAAGAACATCTCATCTCCTTAGTTTCTCATTTGAGTTAATAGTTCGATTGACTTAAGCTTCAAAAGAGTTTGACTTTATTTTAAACTTGCATCCCCAAAGACTTGAAGGTAAGGAGTGAATAAATTTAATCAAACTCCCTTCTCCTTTGGTGTGTCCAGTGTTTGCTTTTTTGGCTCCAGCGACTGCTAGTCAGTTCCACAACTCTCTTCCTAAACCCACAATTTACTGTGCAAGTGAGTTGATTACTAGTTAAGCTCAGAGATTTAACCACTTGGTTCAGAGACTGGGCCTAAATAAAATTTGGAAGCATTTATGATTCCAAATAAAGTCTGGATGTGTCTATGGTTCCAAAGGTAAACAGACTTCACCTTAGGAAGTTTCTGATTATGAAACCATAAAAAATCTACCACTGAATTCCAGAGAAGATCAAGATAAATGTGTAATAAAGATTTGGGGCTTATTGAAACACACAACATTTTAGAACATGTATATCATGGGCAAAAAGATGCTGGTGAAAGAAACAAAGCATCAGTTGAAGTGCCATGGGCTGGTGATCAAATGAAGTTAGATAAATAGTACATACAGCCTGAGTAGCAGAAAGAGTCATATCTCCAAACTGGTTGAGAAAGTACATCCTAGAAATAGCTGGGATCATATCCATGATCAAGTGATAGTCCACCATGTTTCTTGAGTACATCTCCAGTCTCTTCAGGTCATAAGGGATGAAGACACCTTCTAGCTCATTACGCCTGATTGCTGAGCGAATTGTTAGTCAAATGGAGGAAAAAGTAAAAGGTTATGCAAAAATAGGATCTGAAGCCATTTATCATCAGTAGCTCATGTTACATACACCAATTTTTATGCAATCTGCAGCTCTCTACATGTATTGATCCTTGATTCTCAATCCTCAGCCAGCCTGCCTCCATCCACTGGGTAGAATTTTAGGCATTTGCACCCATTCTCAGGGCACTGCAGATTATTATGTCAACTAGAAATTATGGGAGCTAAAGTTAAACACACCTGAAGAATTAATTTAGAGAAGGCTGATCTATGTAAACTTTTTATCTTTGAGTTGTGTGTTAGCTTAGGGGAGTAGGAAGTCAAGATAATGTATCGTGCATGCCATTAAGGAGTAGAAAACCACTAATAGTTACTTCTAATTTGAAACAGATTTCAAAGAGATATATATGACAGAAGAAAAATTACTTAAAAACTAGTGGGTTGTGCCTAAGGAGCATGAATTATTTTGAAAAATATTTGCATGCATCCAAATAGTCAAAATCAGTACAGTGGTACCTCGGGATACGAACTTAATCCGTTCCGTGACTCTGGACATATCCCGAGTTGGTCGCAAC